TATGAGTAGGTTATTTGGAAAACGACATTTAATTTAGGATAGATGAAAGAAATACAGACTGATATAAGTTTTTTTATCACTTTTCGACATTTTCTCAGTAAATATCCGACTATTTCTTGTACGGTCAATGATCTGTTCTAATGTTAGAAGAGTGTTCTATGTATTTAAATGGTAACTTCTAGATTATTAGTTTTTAAAAACGTATGTTCGTGTATTATTCAATGACTGAAACTACCACTAAAATCCGTTTATCGAATTGGAAACATGATCTTCATATGTATTTGGAACGCACTCGTGACACAATACCTGTAAACACTCGAAATGTTGTGAATAGTTGGTTGTTGATTATCGGAATTGGTTTTATTTGTCTTACTTGTGTGGTTTGTCTGATTCAAGTTTGTTTTAAACTATATTCGATATATGAAAAGGAAGAAATATTGGATGTTTATCATCAAAAATCAAAATTAAAAAGAAAAAGAAAGTGGCAGCTAAAACACGCACAGTCAAATTATAGATTGTGCGATTTTTACGATGAAACGAGAAGTAGCCAACGACAAAAGCTTTGGAATCAGTTATCGAATAGAGTTCAAAATATGGCATGTACGAACAATCGTAATCGATCACAATCTTCTAATTATGTCATTAGTTGCATAAAAAGGGATTCTGATAACAACAAATCAATGAGAGAATTAGACGCCTACGAGGGAAACATCAACCGGTCTTGTTTTTCATTTTCGACAAGAACGTATAATTCGGTAACAATAGATTATGCTGGAATTCATAGCGTAGATGAAGGTGTGTAAACGTACGTTTGTCTTTCGATCTACAGCATAAAAATAAGAAAATAACCGATCTACGGATCTACAAGATCGTTATTATATACTAGTCGATAAGAGTTAATCGAATTTGAAAGAAGCTAGTTAAACACAAAAATGTATGAATTTTTTTGCTGTTGTGAATCATATTTTCGTCGTTTACAATTCTTTCCGATGGCTCTCTAGAAGATATCACACATTTCTTAAATCCAGAACCATTTACTCTAGCCGAATTATTATCATCTTGTGATGCACTCTTCAGTTTAATTCTGATTCTATAAATAACTCTTCTGTGTACAATGAACTTTGTTCACTAGTTCAAGTTTTTCATCTAACTTGTGATCCAATCGTTGTAACAAACGCATACTTAACTACTCTTGATTAATTATTATATCCATCTACGTAGCGGCCTGCGATCAATTTTCTGTCGTTCAACGGCACCGTTTTACCATGTATAGTGATTCGCTTGATATTAATATTTTGATACTATTAAAAAATAAATGAAAATGAATCCGTGATTTTTCAAAATGGAATTTGATTGCTGTTTTGAATCCGTTAACTGATATTATTTATACTTTTTATGGATGCTCTCAGTATTTGGTTGTTACATGTCAATTTCTGTATTGAGCATTATGCTCCATTTAAACACATTTGTTTTGGAAAAATCCTAACTTATCCTCTCCCCTTTAGGTCGTCAACTCAGACACTAAAAAAATTAAGTTTTCAAAACTTTTAAATCTGTCTCAAACACAAATACACATCCTCTGTTAAAATCTGTGTGCGTTCGTAAACGACGTATGATGAAACCGGTGTTTTTTCTAGGTATACACCGGTATCGATATAGCAAATACCGAAAATACCGATTTTTTTGGATTTTTTCATTTGAAATGAGATAGTTTAGTGTGATGGACACCTAAGAAGAATCAGGGACACAAAACAAGAGCTCTTTTTGCTTTCTACAGCGAAAGTTTTCCTTTATCTTGTATCTATACATCCACAGAATACACACCTGACGAGGAAACCTATCCAAGTGATACCTTTCGATTTTCGTTCGTTCATACGTCGATCGATAGAAGGTATTGAGCTGGTAAAAAATGTTATGCCACGCACTACAGTCGTGCCATAAGGGAGAAGATCATAGTTAAGTTTATTGCGTAAGCATATAGTCTAAGTAATTGCGCAAGAGTATATTCAAGGTTATGCTGTAAGACTATGATCAAGGTTATTGTGCAAGAACATTTAACGCTCTGGTGCAAGAACATTTAACGCTCTGGTGCAAGAACATTAAAGGTCATTGCATGTTCCCGGGTGAACTAAGATCTTTCACACCCAACGAAAAAAGTTATCCTTAACAATAAAATTACTGTATTTATATACAAAATATTGCGCGATAGTCTTGAGTAGACTGCGCGATAACCTTGACTAGGGTCTATGCAATAACCTTTAATGTTCTTGCACCAGAGCGTTGAATGTTCTTGCGCAATAACCTTGACCATAGTCTTACACGATAACCTTGAATATACTCTTGCGCAATTACTTAGACTATATGCTTACGCAATAAACTTAACTATGATCTTCTTCCTTATGGCACGACTGTAGTGCGTGGCATAACAAAAGACCTAAAAGGATTCTCCCTCATGATTCTTGAAGATCCAGTTTACTGTAAAACCAGTTTTTCAGAAATTTAAAAGAACTTAATTTAGGGGTTTTCTTGTAAATTCTATAACTTTACAAAGAAAGGTTGTGCAGAGCTGGGAGATGTCTCATTTTAATCAGAAATTTGCGGGTTACAATTATGATTCATTAAGAAAGGCTTTAGTTATTACTTAGCTCCCTCAAAAACTGTTTTGCAGTAAATCGAAGAAGAAAATCGAAAGGTGTCGCTTGGATAGGTTTCCTCGTGAGTGCGGTGGCAAAACACTAGTGCTAGACAAAATATTTTGAGTTCTAACTCAAAGTATTGTGAAAGAAAAAACACAAAGAATGTGTGAGAATGTATTTCACTTTTTGTTTCTATATTTTTCTTTACAATGTCATGTATGGATATAGAAATAGAACGATAGGTACGTACGTTTGAGAAAAGCCACGTGGAAACATCACGCCATACTCACTTTATTCGAAGCCTGTTAATGGTGGAAAACACGATGTCCGATCCATGTGTCAATGTCAAAAAAATTTTTTGTATCATAAACAGTTGAAAACATTTATGAGAAAGTTAATTCAATCAATTTATTGAATATACTATTACATGAAATATTAATCTTTTTATTTACATAATCAACTAAGAAAGAAGAAAAATTAGGGTCATTTGGGGCTAATGAAAGCTTTTTTTCTTGACGTAACATTTTAATGAGACGTTTAATATTATCATGTGGTGGTAATTCTTCGTCCGATATTCCGATACAACAATGTATTATAACTAAATCAGGTATTACTTGTGTATCCATTGTACGATACGAAAGATTTTCATTAAAGGAGGGAAGCGCATAAGGTAGTTTTGTGCTCTCAATTTATTTCGAATAAAAATTACATGGTTGAAATCAGCATCAAATTCTGAACAAAACTGTCGCCTCAGATTTTCAAGAAACTCACTTTCATGTTCACAACACCGTTTTTACTCACTACGAACTCTGCGTAGTGGGTAAAAACGGTGTTGTGAACACAATGGATCTGGAATCAACAATCAAGCTGTTTTTAACATAATTTTCCCGATACAGTGCAGTGCACAAAAATTCGTTCAATTTCCTTTTTTGATATTGCCTACCCCACACCGCTACTCAGAAATTCGTTAAGAAGGTGATTCAACCTGTGAACTTGTTGAACCAGTTAAGATGAGAATTGTGATGCAAAAATTTCGCATCGTATCAGAGCTGATTCCCAGCATAATTTTTGGCCCTAAATTGACAAAATAAAATTTACCCGCGTTGCAGTTTGCAGGTTAGAAACAAAACCTTTGTCCTGCACAGGCAGGGGGTGCAGATGAAAATTTATGCACTACCCTGCCCTGCAAGTGGAAATCTTTTTTACATGTTTTCCTGTGTATTTTCTTAACAATAACAAATAAAAAGCAATGATCATACTTAATAATTTGTTTCGGAAAATTCTGCTTCTTTGGCTTGATTTTAGAAAAAGCGGAAGATATCAAAAACGTTTGTTAAACAGCCCAAAAGAGAAAACTGTTATACCCTAAGTCGGAGTATAACAATGTTTTTTTCTACTGACCACTATCAGTCTGTATTACACACTGATAGTTATAGACTGTATCACCAGTTACTGTTCAATCTACTTGTTTTATACTTTTCTCTTTCTGTTATCATCATCGTCTTCTCTCATCTTCTTTGCCTATACGTAGTGCAGAAACATACTACGTACAACAGGAGCGAAAGTCATTGTTTTTCTTTATTCTCTATTTTTCGTTTCTCTTCCGTTTTAGAATATCTACTAGAAATACGAAAAAAAAACTGTTAGTTAGTTTCTTTTTCTTAAGGGATCATTCTGACCTTCGGTGTGAACAACATTTCCTCACTCTTTTTGTTTTTGAAGGGAATACAGGTAAAAACTTCTCTCCTACAGAGAGTGCAGGCAAGAAAATATTCTTCTTTAGCAGCCGACCGCCAGCAGAAAAGTTTTCTTCCACCTACAAATTGCCACCTGCCTGTACTGACTACAGCTTTTAGTCAGTTTAAAATGCAGGTGATCAGCTCTGTATCGTACACTACCGAACAATATTCTAATCTACGAAGAATGTAACCTTTATACTACACTCCTATCAGTATTTTCAGATTCAAATAAATATCATTTCTTTTAGGAAAAAGTATTTGAAACGGCACAGTGTAAGAAGAAGAAGGATAAAGACGTTTTTGGTATCGTCAACTAACTGAAAAATCATTGATTACCCTGTACATCTGTATCGTCGTATGTCTAATTCCGAATGAGTGCTGTATGTTTGTATGTGTGTGTGTGTATACTGTTAAAAATTCACATGAAGAGAGAGATACACATGGTTTTGTTTCTTCTTTTCTTTCTCCCTCCGCTTGCACAGCTATGTGATTTTTTTTATGAAGAGAGGAGAAAAGAAATAATATCATTTACTCAGTTTAAAGGTAAGAAAACTGGAAAAAAAACAGTCACATTTTGTGTTTCACTACGTCATCAACACAAGGAAAAAGTACAAAAGGCAGAAATATGGATGTTATGACAATATTCATTATTTGTCTAGTTACTCTACTTTTGTGTATTATCTATTTTATTAATTTATTTCGTCCAAAGCCAATATCTGGTATTAAAATTGCTGATAATTATTCATGGTTATTTGGGCATTTACCAGCATTTCAAACAAACAAGAATCGTATACATGAATATCGTTGTCATTTAGCAATGAACGCTGAATTACAAGGTGATACATGTTTTCAAGAATGTTTACCATTAACATCATCACGTGTCGATATTTTAACACCAGAATTAATCGAATTTGTTTTAAAAACAGAATTTGATTCATTTGGAAAAGGTAATTATTTTCGTGATAAATTACATGTGTTATTAGGTGATGGTATATTTAATACTGATGGACAACGATGGAAACAACAACGTAAAATTGCAGCACATATGTTTACACAACGTTTATTAAATGAAAAAATGATACATGTATTCACTGAACATGGTCATCGTTTTATTGATTTATTACATACAATACCTGAAGGTAAAATATTTGATTTACAAAAATTATTTTTCTGTTATACAATGGATTGTATATGTGATATTGCATTTGGACTCAATTTAAATACTTTAACATTATCTGTACCTGATGCACAAGAATTTGTTGATGCTTTCGATCAAGCTAATTATCTTTCTTCATTACGATTTATTCAACCTGAATTCTCATGGCGATTGAAACGTCTATTTAATATTGGTTCAGAAAAAAAATTAAAAGACTGTATGAAAATAGTCGATCGTTTTATTTATAATATAATTCAACAACGACAAAATGATGATACAACAACAAATAATAAACGTGGTGATTTATTAACATTATTTCTTGTTCATGAAGATAAACAATTAATAAATGATAAATTTTTGCGTGATATTGTATTAAGTTTTATCGTTGCCGGTCGTGATACAACAGCTACTGGTCTATCCCATCTATTCTATCACGTATATCATTCGTATCCAGATATCGAACAAAAACTTATTGATGAACGTCATAAAAACAATTCTGTATATCTTGATGCTGTACTCTATGAATTATGTCGTCTGCATCCACCCGTACCATTTGATTTGAAAATAGCTCTGAAAGATGTGTATCTTCCTGGAAACATTTTTATACCAAAATCAACAATTATTACATATACACCATACCATTATCATCGTTTAAAATCAGTATGGGGACAGGATGCTGAAGAATTTCGTCCTGAACGATGGATTGATGAGACGAATGAACAAAAATTAAAAACTGAAAGTCAATATAAATTTATTGCATTTAATGCTGGTCCAAGATTATGTTTAGGAAAAACAATGGCACTATTAGAGATGAAAACATTAGCATCAATGTTAATTAATGAATTTCATTTTGAATTAGATGAATCGACAAAAAAGTTTAATACACAAATGAAATTTCAAGGTACATGTGCTTTTGAAGATGGTCTGCCAATGACAGTTAAAAAACGAAAAAATAAATGAAATACATCGTGACTCATTTTTGTAGGTTAAAAGTCAGACTTTGTAGCACTATTTAGTTATCGAAACACTAGTGGACTAAAGAAAGGTTGGTGGAATATTAATATGTGCCGTGTTTTCTTAGTAAACTGGCTCTGCTTATAATTACAGAATAAATGAATATGAAGAGTTTGAATCCCGGCAACGGCGGTCATGTGATAGTCTTGGACAAGCTATGTAATACTCATTGTCTTGGTACCTTTAGGCACAGATGCAATGGGGTGGACTGGAAAGATGAGAATTAAAGTTTAAAAATAAACGAATCCTTCACCAAGACCACACGCACTTGATGCGTTATTTTTCCACTCTACGGCTGTTACACAATCAGAACATTGGTAATAATATATTGTTACTTAAATCCACTTGTGATTTATATAAAATGACTGTCGAGGTAGCACGTGTTGAGACAACATTGAGTGAAGCTACTGTCCATTTCAAAATATAATAGATCCCAACATTTGCTGAACGGCAAGGGATAGAGGTCTGCAGTTTTCTGTAATAGAAAGTAAAGTCTGGAGACTGATTTATTGAAAATAAAAAGTACGAGCATCATCTCCAGGTGGTGTATCGTAGCAGAATTTTTCTGAAGATCGCCATTTCTTTTCTACAAAATGTGAATTCGAATCAGAGCTATCTGCGTTCGGCACGTTGACAAAACTACCGAAAATTTGATAAAAATGAAGTATCTCTTTAGGGATCGGCTGAAACGCGTAACTGTCATCCTACGCTGCGGTGGATTGAGCGATATTTTTTCTCTCAAACCACCCTTAAAAGCGCATTACTAGAAGCCGTTTTTTGTCCTGATTACGAATATCAACTTTGAAACGAACGAAATTCAAATTTTTAAATCGAAAATTCAAATTTAAAACTTAGAAGTTTTTTTATTTCAATTTTCTGACCTACTTAGATTATTCAAATTTTTTAGAAAGTACATCAGTGGATAAGGAATTAAATTATCTACAAAGTGCACTATTGACTTTGACAAAACAATCTTTCAAAACGCATTTTATACACTAAACAAGTTTTTAATGTTTTTTGCTAAAATCGAAATGATACTTTTTAAGGAACAATGTTACGAAAATCAAAAACATTTTCCTTGCCATTTTCTTCGCTTAGTTTGATAGAGGGCAGTCGATTGCATAAGGCTCCGTGCAAATCAAATTTATTGAAGTCTTGTTATCGGTAGAAATATAACGATATAATTTGTTTTCATTTAAGCATTTTTAGATGTAGGTGAAAGCAAATAGATGATTCGAAAGCTCTATTTATGCTCTACAACTTTTACATTAGACTTTTTTCTGAATATTTCTCGTTTTAGAGCATTTTTCAAAGTTTGTAGAGCAGTAGAAAAAAAGGCTAAAAACTATAATTTCGTCACGACATCTATTTTGCTCAAAAAAATAGTTCTAACTGACCAGTTCATCTTAAATTTTTACCACAGGCCAAACATTCTATCGCACATCTCTGATAAAAATTTCGTCACCTTTTGTTCAGTATTTGAGGAAACAGAGCCCAAAAATTGAAAAAATGTAATTCCGTCACACGCGTTTAGGCTGGGATGCAAAAATAAAAATAGCAGTATTCAAAATTTAACTAGAGCAGTATTCTTGAATTTCAGCAAAGCATCTGATTCTGTCTGGCACACTGGTGATGTGATGAAGTGATGTGTCACGTAACTACTTCAGGAAAAAAACATGTCGATGTTCCAAAGGGGGACCTCAGCCTAAAAATTTTTGAAAAAATGAAAGTGAGTTTCTTGAAAATCTGAGGCGACAGTTTTGTTCAGAATTTGATGCTGATTTCAACCATGTAATTTTTATTCGAAACAAATTGAGAGCACAAAACTACCTTATGCGCTTCCCTCCTTTAAAGAAAATCTTTCGTATCGTACAATGGATACACAAGTAATACCTGATTTAGTTATAATACATTGTTGTATCGGAATGTCGAACGAAGAATTACCATCACGTGATAATATTAAACGTCTCATTAAAATGTTACGTCAAGAAAAAAAGCTTTCATTAGCCCCAAATGACCCTAATTTTTCTTCTTTCTTTGTTGATTATGTAAATAAAAAGATTAATATTTCATGTAATAGTATATTCAATAAATTAATTTATTATAAACATAAACATTTATTATTTAAGGATGATTTTTTCCACTATAAAACTATGACTTCTTGAATCGAGCATATTGATAGCAAGTGCAAAGAATTTCTGATTTTCTGATCTATAGTGCAAAAAAAGACGTTGGTGCTTTCTGGGGAAATTATTAGTTCATAACTCGGTCAAAAAAGGTCGCATAAATCTGTGGAACGTCTCACCTGGAGGAGAAAAGTCGGCTTCATCTTGTTAAATGATCAAAAATGACTTTTAACTGGTTTTAAAGTTTTCAAAATTATGGGCTTTTTCAACTTTTAAATGTTTATTCTTTTAAGCCCCCCTCAGAAATTGTACTTTTCTGCACATAAAACTGTCTACTTTCGGAATCTGTATCGCTTTTGATTACAAAACTGAGTTTTCGTGGATTTTAAGCAAGTTTTCTAGGAGTCTCGGAAAATCGGGTCTTCAAATAATAGCTTTTTCGTGGATACTAATGATATTAAAATTTTTTCTGAACGCACAGATTTGTAGAACAAACGTTTCTGACCAAAATAAGACCTCGCACAACTCTGCATGACCTTGTATCAAAACGTTAAAGGCAATTTTTTTTCCTAGAAGTCCTAAAATTGAGTATCTCATATAGCTTTATTCTATATAACAGTTACACGCCGATTTTCGAATTAGATCTTAGTTTTTTGTCAAATTGAGGATTTTTAGAAAACTCGGAAGGATTTTTCAGGTTTTGTAGGTTGTTGGTTGCCTGGAAAACCAACAAAAGCTTAACTGACAAATTAGTGTCGGTCAGTCCATGTAGTTAGATGTCTAGTTTAAAATAAAACCAACTCGAACTCTCCAGCTTGAAGTATATTAAAAAACCTTGGTATAAACGTCAGGATCCTTTTTGGATCTTGATCTCTGGAAAACTGCTAAACCGTAAGACTTAGAGACAAAAAAAATTATTTATTCCCGTAACCCATTAAACCTGACATTTATGGTAAGTTTGGCCAAAATCGGATGTACTGTGTCGGAGATAATATCTGAAGGGAAAAAGTCCTTAAAACAATTCACTCGTATTTCTGACAAAATACAAAAAGATTTTTTTATTTCCAAAATTCATTAAACCTAACATTTATGAAAAGTTTCGTCAAGATCGGATGTACGGTGTCGGAGATAATTTCTTCTAGCTACTTTCATGCATAAGAAAATTCAGAAATAAAAGTGGTCTTAAACTTTTGTCCGCCACTTTAGAATGGAAAATTACAATTTTTTCTGATTTTAGGATCCGTTCCAGAATCTTTTCACCTCGTAGATTAATTCTCTTTTCAAACATATATTTTGAACGAACACTCATTTATGCACATTTCAGATTATTCTTGAAGAAATAAAAAGTATTTTTGTGTGAATACGGAATATAATTGGATAATGTTCTAAAAATCTAGCTTCAAGCTAGATCTAAAAAACATCTTTTTGCTTGAGCTCTTCAGTAAAATGTACTTTTCTCCATGAAACTCAAGCTTTTTTCAAATTTACAGGTGATATCCCGCGATCAGCATAAACATTCTGCAACTAACTTATACCGTCTCGACAAAATTTGAGAAAAAAGGATGCACACTTTTTTTCTGATAGATATAGTGATTTGGATGGATTAAGAAATGTATTAAATAAAAAAACTAGATAGGCGAATTCTTAATGTGTTGGGCTGTTTGAGAAATAACTACACACACACAACTTCGACTGAACATATCAGATATTCGATACATGAAGAAATTATTGTTTTTATCTTTATAGGCTGTATTATTGAGAAAAGAAACATTTGTCATGTTGCTCATTCATGCATGCAGTTTACACAAACAGACAAAATGCCTACAACGGGAGAACAAAACACACATGGATAAGTATAGAAAGGGATGAAAACAATGGGTAGAGTAGGTATAATACGATTATGGATCAGTTATTTATGAATGTTTTTGTGGTATCCAGGAATACTTGTTATAACGCGATTATTAACAGTTGCTTGGAGGTGTAGAGCGTCTCATTTTATAAACAAATGTTTGATTTATCTGCTTTTATTGAACAAAAAATTACAAGATAAGATATGGGAATCTTTTTAACAAATTGTTGAACAGACACAAATAGTTATATAACATGTGACGAGTTATTATGCATATTCTAAACATCTATGTAAACAGCGAAACGTTCTGCGTCTTGGGGCGATTATGGATAACCACGTTATAACAACTGTCCTCGATGACTAATACTAGTTGTATAAATGGGTACATGTTTAGGTTAGACTGCTTCTCTAAGCTGCCAAAATATATGGGATATGTAAATATAGATCACCGAAAGAGCGATGTCAATAATGTATTTCTATAATCTGAAGCAAGATCCATTGGAACTTTTGGAAATTAATGCAAAATAATTTAAAAATGTCTCATATTAAAGTAGTTCGCATTAATTTCCAAAAGTTCCAATGGGAACTCTATAAACATGTAAAAAATCCTACTTCAGAATTACGCAGAATTTTCTTCTCTTCGTTTTGCAGAAGTTAGCAGTAAAGTCAAAGTTTTGTAAAATAGAAAGACGCAGACAATGCAAAACTTGAACGGGACTTTTTCATGCCTCATATCACCGATAAAAAAAAATTAAAGTTTGTTTAGAGTTAAAGAAAAATGCTTTTTCGTATTCAGCACAGTTGATAACCTCGGAAATTTTCTATTCTTAGCGTGGGATACCGCCAAAAAGTTAAGAAAAAGTTTCAAACAAATTGACGCAGAATATCCCCATGGTAAAATTATACCATTTTAAAAATTTTTCTTAACCTTTTGGCGGTACTTCTTGCTAAAAATATAAAACTTTCCAGGTTATCAAGTGTGCTGAATACGAAAAAGCACTTTTCTTTAATCTAAATGAACTTTAGTACGAAATAAAACCGATGGGCATCTTTTTTCTCATAGGTATAGTGATTAGAATGAAATAGGAAAGAACGTTTAGTCTATCAAATAAAAAATATTAGACAGATTTACAAGTTGAACAGTATCTATTAGTAGCCGGACCTTCTTATTATATATGATTCACAACGAATGAAGTTGTGCAAATACAACCTCTTAGCACCGTCAACTAGTAGCGATACAGCTGACTTCAATTTATATGAGGACTTGTTTATACGTTTTGTACTTTTTGCAACCATTAATGCTACGATAAAGTAAAATTTGTTTGATTCTGTTTCTCATGTAACTTAGAAAAAGGATTATCCTTGTGTGTTATAGTTTGCCAAGACTCATTAATGCATAAAGAATAATAAAGGTTAAATAAACTTGGCTTCTTTTTTTCGAAATTTCATAGATTTCGATGTTTTCAAAATTTGAACTGTTTTTAGATTTTTTTGCGTACAAAAATGCCTTTGAAAGATTTAACATTTTCCTATATAAGTCGATCAGCTCTATTCCCTAGGGGTAAAGAAACTGACAAAAAAACGCGTTAAAGGTTTCAAAATCAACGTTTTTTTGTCGTTTATACCGTTTTTCTTTTGTCTATCCGTTTGAAAAGGCGCTTTTTAGAATTTTGCAACGCGTTACAGATGAATATGAACGACAATGAAAACGTTAATTAACGCGTTTTGAAATGATTCAGAAATGAAAACAGAGAAAAGATACAGAGGTTTGAACCACCAACTTTTGTCTCAGCATTCTTTCACTTTTCCCATTTGGTCATATCCTCTTGACATTACATTAGCTAACAACAAACTAATGGAGAGCAGTAAAATTCGAAATAATGCAACATTTCAATTTCAAGAAAAAATCGTTAGAAACGGCACAAAGAACGCGTTAGCGAACTATTGATAAAAGTGTCGTTTAAAAGCGTTTATTGTCGTTCAAAACTTTAGAATAACGCGTTTGCTAAAGGCGAATTTGAATTAACCGTTTTCTGGCGTTTTTGTTGAACAGCGTTTTCTGGTGACGTTAAAACGATATAACTTCGGATTTTTTTCTTTTTGTAAACGCGTTTAAAAACGACACTAAATTGCGTTTTATATGAAATAAACGCGTTTCAAAGATTATTTTAATGTCGTTAGAAAACGCGTTTTTTTTGGTAGTCTGGCATTATTATCAACCAAGACGTTTAGTAGGAAACATTTCATTATTGCCTTTCAGATTTTTATTCAAAATGAGTACAAACACAGACGATTTAAATCTTAATATGATCCGCAATCGGCGTGACATTGCGCTTCAAGCATTATTCGAAAGCCGTCAAGAAACAAGACAAGCAAAAATTGATCAATTTCAATCTGATATTCGGCGTTTATCCCTTGATGAGTTGCCATCTCAAGACGTCCTGGATGAGAAGGAAAGACAATCATCGGCTTCTATTGATTCACTCGAAAAATTAGATATACGAAAAGACGTTGTATTAGACATTGAAACATGTTTGAAAGACTTGAATGATCAAGCTCAACTTCTTGGAATCAAACGAACGGCGACAGTGATCGCGGATGAAGAAGGCCAACAATGTGGTCATAATAACAAGACAGCTGCTGATGGTAAAAATGATAGTGATAAGATGCTGAAACAGACGACAACTGCTGCACGTTTAGCGGTAGTCCTGATAATGAAGGGTTTAATGTGGGCAGCTATTCATTTGAGCCAAGGTGGAAAAATGTTTACAAATTTGTCATCTGCCATTGCTTATTTACGGCAAAATCATAAAAAATTGCAAGTACCTAATCATCTTCTACTCGAATGGGAGAAAAATATTTATTTATTCGATTTGTTTATCGCTGATGAATCGATTTATTGTAATCATAAAAAAGCAACAGACTTGTACAATATTTGTGCTGAAACATACGACTGGATTAATATTTACTTTACTCTGTACAAAGATCAGCCCGAACTTCTGGCATCATCTGTTAAATAAACTAGATTCTTGAGCAATTTTTGTGGTATAATCAAGCGTCACACAAGTCATAACTACTCGATTATAAGTTAGAATAACAAAATACTGCGTTTTCTTTCGTTTATTGCGGTAGTGAAGCTTTACAACATATTATATGAATGACGTTCTGACAGGATCTTGATGGTATTTTTGTTGCTTAAAACCTTTCGCATATAGCTCTATGCTGGCCCTACCCATTTGTTAGAATCAGAAAAGGAAAACCTCAGAAAAAGAAAACATCCACTCCGAAACCACTGAGCTTGTTCAAATGCAAACTAGCTGTATTCCTTGTCGAAAAGTGATCGTTGTTTCTATATCTTCTGCCTGACACTTTAGTGTAAAATCCTGCCAGCATTAAGTTTATAAAAAGAAGTGCTAAACCTAGCACGCTTCATAGCCTTGCTTATAATGCTGATACAAAAATTCCACTCCCATTTGCCACACCTGGTTTCAGTTATATAGGGCAAAAGTACACGTAATACTAAGTTTTTTTGTTGCAAAACGCAGCTCTACCACCCAGATAGTTACTGAGATATTCAATTTTTAAGAAAAATTGCTATTTTGTTAGTAATGAATTAGGATCAATTAGCGTTTAATGTCGAGCGTGTTTTTTTCTAACGGCTTGACTTACAGACATGAAAATTTCCGCGCAGCTATAACTTGAATCAGGCTAAAAAACAGCGCAAGTTCGGAATCCAGAGATCGTTTTATTATCAAGTAATAGATGGCGCTACTGCTACTACTTCACCATTCATTCACAGTGCGCATTTTTCTATAGAGCAGGCGGACATATGCTGTAGGAGTGGTATGAAAGCCTATAAACACGTTCTTCTATAGGTTTGTGTGTCTCGGTAAAGTGCCGGCAGTGTCTCGGCACATCATTACCTTTCTCATGACCTTCTAATTAGGGTGACCCTCTAATACGTCTGAAATTTAGAATGTCCTATGTTTCAATAAGTTTCATTTTTATTTATGTTTTTCATACTAGAGACAATTTTTTTTTCGTATTAGAAACTAATTTTTTTTCCACATATCTAGTAGAGTCTTTTGCTTTGTATTCCTGTCAAGATTTCGATTGTGCTGTTCTGTGGCTTTACGAGCTTCTTCTTCAATACGTTGATCATCGGCTACATTTGGATCTTTGTTGGTCGAATAATCGACATTGGTCGGATCAAAACAATAGCCTGGTATGCTTGGATGAATATATAGACGAATGTATGGTCGAGGGCAATATGTAGCAAGACGACGTTTACTCTTTCGATTTTTTACTATTTTGTCTATCTTTCTCACTCATTCATGTAGACAAACCTATTAGAAGGCATATATAGAATATATTTTGAAGGGCGCTGTAATTATTCTTTAATTACTTGTATTAAAAAATCACTTGGCGAGGGAACAGTTTCAGTCAATAGCCGATGAACCGCAGATGAACGTTACTTGTTACAGACAGGAAAAAAAGAGAAAAATATGAGTGCCAGTGGGGAGAATCGAACTCCCATTGTTCGGACCACAACCGAACGTTCTACCACTAAACTACACCGGCGAATGGACCATGTTCTAACCGTTGACTCACTCTTAAATATGAAATATTTTTAAACTTGTGTGATGTCAAGAAGAAGCAAAAGCAGATATCACTTTCTGATTTGAATCGAAATCCAACTGAAAATTTCCTGCTTAAATAACTAAAAGTTGTCTCAATTCCTTTACTTTTTTTTGTCAGAAAAAAATTCATTTCTTTATTTGCCTCTAAATAGAGGAGCGCTTCAGAATGTATTTCGGTCCGTCGCTATTCCCCCATTATTTCTCTGTTATAGAACATTTGTATACTATATATAGTTTATATATCGAGCTTGATTTTATTTTCTAATTGTTTCCAACTTCTTCAAAAACAATTCATCGCCATGTTTCCAAAGATTATTCATTTGTCAAGCTATCAGTAAAATATTTAAAGTAAAAAAAGAACATCTCTTTTATAGTTCATTCTACTGTCATTCTATTTAGGCATTTTTAGAATAGAATGTTTTTCTTACTATAAAGAAGAAACTAGTATCGTGTTTTTTCTTTATACAAGTAAAGATTTAGGCAAAACGAACTTAAAGAAATTAGTGTAAGACAGAAGAATTTCAAATGAATATATTAAACGCAAATCAATATTATATATTACCACAAATCTAATAAAGTTTGTAATACTTTTATCAAACGAATATAGTATACTCTCGAAGGAGAACAATCGTTTGCACATAATCTCAAATGAGAACATTTTTAAACCGTGCACTCTTGAAGGAGAACATTTTTGTCATATATATTCTCAAAGGAGAACAGTTGTAAATTGGAAGATAACAGATTAAAACATAAGCTAATTAAGAAGCTCCTTAAAGCTCTGAACTAGAGAAAGAATAATGCTGAAGAGACTGTTTAGACTACCATAAGGCAGTTCAAAAGATTGAAGAATAGCAAGACGATCAATATGGTGAACGTTCAGCCTTATAAAAGCGATGAACTTTGCAAAGCATTACTGAGAAACAAAAAATGTCATTATTATATGCGACTGAAGATACTAGTAAAGATAAGATGAACTGGACTAAAGCTGAATGCGCTAAAGATAACTCTGTAAGGTCTAACTTTTCAGAAAAGAATAGAAGGCATCTGCCGCCCTCAACTTCAAGGTATGTCGGCTCTCTTCCCAAGAAAGCAAGTGCCGAAGCAGATCAATTTTGTTTTTATTTCTTACAAAAGCGTTACACAGCTTCACAACAACATAGAAAAATACAAAGAAAACGTTGAACGCAATGTTCATGCAGCCTTTCTGACTATACAAAAAATTGTTTCTCTCACTTCTTTTCGCAGTAATAAAACAAAAGGTTCCAAAGCCCTTCTGTTAAACAAAAAATAAAATTCGGAAACAGCCTATAGGACTACACATAATAAGTACAGACAAGAGCATTTTTCTCTTCCGCACGAAGACTGGCTCGAAAAAGAAATAAACATTCTTAAGCAGCCAATTATAATAAACACGAGAAGAAA